AAAAAAAACTTACCGTTAAATTAATTTTCAATACAATTTCTATATATGCCTTACGTGTTGAAAGCCGTGAACCAAAAGTCCTGATTTGTATCCATGGATTATAATCCTTGTCGGTAATGAGGAGTTATATTTAATGACTTTATACTGTTGTAAATCAATTGCGTGAATATATTGCGGTTCGTTTGCAGTACTTTTTGAATAAATCAAAAATTGGGTATCAATTAGTTGTGGCGATTGTGGGGCGCAATTGATTGGCCGCACGGGTGACGGCCCGAAGACCCCATCGTTCCGAAAACATCCCAAATCACGGAAACACACTTCAGGTGCTGTCGATGTAAACACTCCGAGTATAGGCGCCGCTAAGTCCAGAATATTCAGAATATTCTGTGCACTACTTATATGAAGTATAACAACAAAAATACTGCAAACTTTGGCAAACATTTCCATAACTCATACGGCATTTGAATATCAAATACACAATAATCCATATATCGATCAGTGATTGTAAATCTTCTCAAATCGCAGCAAATGTTTGCCATATTTAGCGTCGATGAGAGAAAGTGTGTGTTTTTATTGTCTATTATAAAGTCTAATCTACCCCTAGTGTAGTGTATAAACCCTTTATTATTATCTATAAATTGTTTGCCTAAATCTGCGCTCATTTGAGTACAAAATCTATTTGATTAGGAATTGGAGTGAAATTGAAAACTAGTTCATTGGCCCTGAATTCAGACGAATTTATCAAAACCTGTTTTTCCCAAATCTAACATTATTTTTCAATTATATTTCATTTACTTTTCATTATATGAATAGAATCTATTCAATAGATATTTACATTACTTTATAACAAATGTGACAATTCTTAAGCATAACATATTTAATATTATTGAATATCAGACACTGTATGTCATTTAATATTATAGATATCTTTCACATCTTTTAATTCATTTATTGTTTTATTTAATAGGAATCTAAGTTTCGTATCAAAAGATTGTTATTATCAAACAAATAATTCATAAATTTGTCAAATTTATTATCGTATTGTTTTCCAGAAGTTGATTAATGTTTACAATAGAGATTTTTGTCGCAAAAATTCACAAAAATAATTTATAAAATTTATTTAAATATACAATAATTTTAAATGTGATAACTTAATTTATACATGGCGAACCTACATCTATATGCCTATACATTAACATTATTCAACTCCCTAATAGGAAGTTCGTTTGGCATGTATAATTTAATTGTAAAGTTTAATTGCTTGTGTATAAGAATGTCCGAATACGACTGAAATACATGGCAAATAATAACAAAACGAATTCACTAATTAAAAAATAAAAACTTGTTAATTATTATAAATATGAGTTGGTAAATTGACAAAATCAACAAATTAACCACATTGTTGAAAATTAATTTTTTATTTTAGTTATAAATAATGTAAGGATTGTTATTATTAGTTATAACTTATAACTTAATGTACAAATTCTTATTAAGCTATAATCCAAATCCAAAATTTATGCCAATTAATAATTGTTACAAGGGGATTTTAATTTTTTAGAATTAATCCAAATTTATTAAACATATAAATGGTTTATAAACATAAATCAGCAAAAGTTATGTCACATAACTCTATAACACAGTATTTAATGGCCCAATGGGTTAATGTATGGATATTTGGTTTTATGGTTGATATACAGCAAAAAAGATAAGTATTTTCGGATTTCACTAAAAGCTGTCGTATTATTAGTGGAAAAATCTCAAGTGTGTTGAAAAAGAAAAATTCTTGCATTCATTAGACAAACGACTAAATTTAGGTTTGAAAAAGAAAAATGGTTAATTTATTTAATAATATTTTTATTTGACTCTCGATTGAGTGATATGTACTATATTTACCACTCGCTATAATAGGGGCGGTTAACGAGAAACAGAGCTATTATTAATAAACACAATATTTATTTTTGCATTTCATTTCTTGAGTTCAAAATTCAATTTTTCAAAATAAATATTATATACAGAAAGTAGAGAAACGACAATAATTTTCTTAATGCAAATTACATTTACTCTAATAATATACATTAACAATGCATTAATATTTGCAGCAAATTTATTTACATTATAATAACTATATTTAATAAAACAAATATTATTCTTGTAATTAGAGAGACTTTGACGACAGGCAATCAGTCTTGGGCTCTGTTTTTACCACTTTATTCCTATTCCTTTCAGTAATGATTAATTTGAGACCATTTCTGGTCCGCAAAACCATTTCGCCGACGATATAGAGTTTGTCTCTTTGATCGACGGCTGAGATGTGGAAATTGCGGACAATTTTTGAGACCACAATCTTTTGCTCTAAGAAAGCAAACTTCTGTCCGATGCAATTGCGAGGCCCGGCGCTGAACGGGATGTAACAGTACGGGTGTCGACCCACACAGTTGTCCGGCAGAAAACGGTCGGGAATGAATTGCTCCGGGTTTGGGAACGACACCGGGTCTCTGTGCAATATATAGGTGAATATTCCGCATGACGTGCCTTTGGGCACCAAATATCCATCTAATGAATAGTTAATATTTGTTTTGTTTGAGTTTTTAGCTGATTAGTCGCCCATAGTTTGCGGACGTAAATGCTATTTATAGTTATACTTATGACAGTGTCTTCGCTTAACTCGCGCCCAATGAATGGTGCGGTCGGATACAGACGTTGCACTTCTTTGAGCACACACTCCAAGTATTTCATCTGTTTTGTGTCGTCGATAGTGCAGTCTTCGTCGTCGGAGTGCAGATCCATCACAGAATCCACTTCTTCTCGAACCCGAGTTTGTATATCGGGATGAAGTCCTAACATATATAATGTCCAACTAATGGCCTGCGCTGTCGTGTCGTGACCCTAAATACAACATTCATTAGATTTATTTCATTAAATGTATATTTTATGCGGAGATAGTGTTGTAATGCATTTAAATAACTCTTTGCGCAAATTTGTATTCATTTATGATATGTTGAACTGAATTACAATTTATAAAGCATTTGAGACTAAAAAATACAAGAAAGTCAACGAAAAAGTGTATAAAATATACATTTCATTGAATTTCATATAAGAAACCCTGATTTGATTATACTTCATAATAAGGGCGCCGAATGTTATACTGTTATCTCTCTCTCTCTCTCTCTCTCTCTCTCTCTCTCTTTAACTCCTCATTACCGACAAGGATTATAATCCATGGATACAAATCAGGACTTTTGGTTCACGGCTTTCAACACGTAAGGCATATATAGAAATTGTATTGAAAATTAATTTAACGGTAAGTTTTTTTTCTATTTTGATGACAAGAACTCATTTGATGTGATAAAAGAGGGTCTCCTGAGCGGTGATGAAAGCTCAAACGTGATTCTGGTTCAGTGGACTCGAGGGGCGAGTGGTTTCTACTTTCAATCGGTGGCAAATTGTAGAGTTGTCGCCACACAGATTGCACTACTCATTAAATATTTAGTTGTATGTTAATTACATAAAAAACAAAACATAAACTAATTACCACTAATTAGATATAACATAATTTTCTAAGTAATCGATAATTACATTTATAAGTCTGCATTATTACTATATAAAAGGCATAAAACTTACAATTTGTTAGTATATAACTTTATTAACAACAAAAAAAACATTTTTCCAAATGTATGTCTTAATCAATAACAGAATGAACGCAACGCTCGGCCAGAAATGTTTCATTTAATTGGCTTTAGTTTAGGCGCTCATATATCTGGATATGTGGGCAAATTAGTACCCAATTTGGGCCAAATCACAGCCTTAGACACCGCCCGACCCTATTTCGATGGCGTGGCCCCGACTGCACGGTTAGACACATACGACGCCTCATATATTGAATCATACCATACGGATAGCGGTCAGTGGTTTTGGCAGTAATTGCCGTAAATATTATTTTCAAAATTATTTTTGTGTTTTGTATTAAATTACATTTGAACACAAAAATATATTTTAATATGAAATGTATACTAATGTAATATAAGGTTGAAATTTAATATGATTTCATGTGTACACAGAATATTCCTTTAATATATATTTTTTATAGAGAACTTAAACAAATTACAAAATAATTATATTAGAAATAGTATATGAAAATTTTTCGGCTTTATTTCAATGAGATTAGCGAACTGTGCAAACGTTAAACTTAATTAAATTAAAATATATATTATATTTGGCAGACATCGGGTCTGTGGCGGCCTTTGGAGACGTCGACATCTATTTCAATGGAGGGAATCGACAGCCCGGCTGTGATCATCAAATCTTTGATACGGCTCTAAACGATGGCATATTAGATGGTTTGCATTGTGTTTGTTTAGCGCTTAAAAATTAATTAATTATCGGACTATTTATTTGTGAAAGGACTGTTTGAAACGCTTTCATGCGATCACAAGCGAGCACTTGATTATTATGCAGACTTTATTGTGACGGCAAACGGCGCCTGTAAGCCAATCGCCTACCGGTGCGAGAGTTGGGATAAATTCATGTCAGGCTTGTGTTGGATGTGCGGCCAAAGGTCAGAGAATTGTGTAATCGTTGGCCATAATACTGGTCCAAACACTCGCAAAAATGTTAATAAAAGTACTGATAACAAGTATTATATGCTGACAAATGATAGGCAGCCCTATTGTGGTAATAAAAATCGATATTCATTTGAGTTGTGCATTAAATATTAAAAAAGTGAACGCTTTTTGTTATAGTTTATCAATATTTGGTTAGAATAGCAGCGCATTCAACGAGCGCTCGCATCGACGGCAACCTTCATATAAAACTGCATTCATTTAGAAATACGTTTAATGATAAGAGCGGGTAATGAAAGGCATTTTATTTTAACTCCAAATGCAATTCTCTTAACTCATTAATAATTGGAGAATATATTTATTTTGTTATATGTTTTGCAGGCATTTAAAGTTCAGTACTCAGAGTATGGCATCGATGGTGATCTCCAACGATAGGCCATTGGATGAGATCAGGAAAATTGATATTTACATCGATTACCGGCGCAGCGCTGGGAATAAAACCAATGAATTTTACATAAATTCAATTCAATTAATTCCACTTAATATAGTGGACGACAAGTAAGTCATAAATATTCAAAACATAGTATTTATATAAAAATAAAATAACAAAACACCACATCATATGATGGTATAAATAATTAATAATAAAATTCTACTCCAATTAAGCGAAAAATTAATAAATTCTGTGATGTATTGTACGCCCGGAAAGAAATGGATGATAACTAAAGAATACACAGCCATTACACTACAGAATATTCATTGTAACTGAAAATTTTATATGTAATTACATTTTCTTTTTTATACTTTTCTAGCGTTTTCTTAAAAGATATGATAATTTTTTTCAACCAAATATAAATTCAAAATTCCTTAATTAACAGTTATATTAGAAACTAAAGTATGCGTTAAAGTACTTCATCCATGAATATGTTAAATATGTTTAATCCTGTATTATTAAAATGAACAATATTTTGATGAAATTTTTGGCTTAAACTGAAAGCAATAAATAGTTAAAAAGTTAATTATTATAAGTATTGTTATTATAAGTTGGAGCAAAGTTTTTCGGTCTCCACTTTATCACAATTAAGTTCGTGTCGACGGCTTTCTAATTATATATTTTATTGTATCAATAAATTATATTATACTTCTTGACATACAATACATTATACAATCCTTCTCTCGTCTTATATAACGTCATAATTAGACTCATTTTTCGCTCAAAACTTAACTTTTCTAATTATATATTTTATTGTATCAATAAATTATATTATACTTCTTGACATACAATACATTATACAATCCTTCTCTCGTCTTATATAACGTCATAATTAGACTCATTTTTCGCTCAAAACTTAACTGTAATTCTGTTGACACTTATAATAAGCTATAATTTTTGAGTATTTATTTATTATATCATATAAACACACATTTCAGCGAGACGTCGGTCTGAATCCATATAATATTCATAACATGTTTAAAATTTATATACAAAATATTAATTTAATATTAATATATTGGGCCAAATGATAAATAGGTTGATTTACTATTATCCCGTGTAGATGCAATTGTCAAATTGGTTTCATTAATTAGGTTCACATTCCTGGGTACCAGAATCCGAGTTTCAGAAATTTTGGATCATTAGTATATTTACAAGAATTTTTTAATAAAGTTAGGTAAAATAATATATTCCAATTTTCTGTATTTACCGATGGTTGAAATCGTAGTTGAATTAGGCATGCTCATATAGTAATACACATAATAGCAAATTCTTACTCTTGTGAAGACTATATTATGAATGAAATATAAAAATAAGTTGATTGATTGCCAACTATGACTAAATTTTTACTGGTTATAAACTAACCCGATTTCAAGAACTCGGTTTCTGGTGCCTATTAATGTTAACTTAAATTATAAAACTAATTTCGTAATTTTATCCACACGGATTAATAGCCATTCTAATACATTATCATTTATACCAATATAACTATTTTATATGCGATATAAATTTTGGCAATAGTTAAACAATTGGTAAATAGTTTATAAAATATTACAAACGCTAAAAAGTTTTTTGTAATGTCTATAAATTGTCGGAAAATCTTATGTTTGCTCTCGAATTACTTTATAAAACAAAATATTTGCACATTTTGCGCTTATATATAGGATTTGAAAAAATGAATCATTGTTAGCATAAAATAAAGTTTATGGCAAAGAAAGAAAAAAGTAACAAAAAAATTTTAACACATATTTGAAATCCTTTTGAATGGAAAATAATATGAATAGCATATTAAATAAAATCAATATCAGGTTATATTCACTGTGTGTTTCATATCTCAATAAGAAAAATAGTGTGCAAATAAACATAACATTATTTTGATTGAATGCCACATTCAGTATGGATTCATGTCTATAAAATACAGTTAATTATAACTCATTGCATAATATGACGGAAAATTATTTCTCACTTTATTAAACCCCACATATATTGCGAGCAAATAAATAAGAAATGCAAAATCGTTTTGCCATTCGATCAATATTTGTTGTAAAACCAAATTATGTTTATATTTTATGTTCATATTATGCTTAAATATGTGTTCAATTCCCTTAACTGTATTTTTATTAAATTCATGTCCAAAATTGCATTCCTCTCCTTCTCTGCACTAGTGGTGCATAAACTGCTTAATACGGATCAAGAATTTATTAAATATATNTATGCTTAAATATGTGTTCAATTCCCTTAACTGTATTTTTATTAAATTCATGTCCAAAATTGCATTCCTCTCCTTCTCTGCACTAGTGGTGCATAAACTGCTTAATACGGATCAAGAATTTATTAAATATATATTGTGTTCATTGAATTTTATATCAATCGTCTTAAACAAATCCTTTTTACTTTTACCGTAACTCTTAATAATTCATCACATATTGAGTGTAAGACTAATAATACTCCAAAAAAATACTGTTTGAACAGAAAAATGTGTTTTTTAGATGAAAGACACACAGAATCGACACTTTAGTGATTGAAAGGGGAGTAATGTTATAACGAGTTGTCATATTAATTGATAGCCGTCTCGTAAGTTAAACATCACGATTGGCGTAATTCAGTGGCAATTATGGCGGTGTCTGTAAAAAGCATATATCGATTGCGAGATAACTTACGATCGCTATAACTCACGGATCGACCAAAGAAGGGGTTCATTCTTGTTCTGGCAGTCAATCTATTCTTAGCGACATATCGTATAAACAAATTGCCAGCGAATGTAATGCATGTTTTAAATCACTTATGAATGTTAGATAAGTTACGGGCAAAACATATAATTGTTGGCCCGAAGAATACATGCGCCCAACACTTAATGCTATCAACAAATGCATGAATTCTTTATCACGAATTTATTGAATGTAATACAATATACAGATTGAGAGTGAGAGAGACTGGAGTGGAGTCTACTCGACACAAGTGATGTGAAATTCCTATTGCAGACTAACACTCAGTTTCTGCTCTCACAGAACATGCTCTCAATTTTCCACAAGCCTTACCAATAGATAGTATATATATATAGTGTATATTTTGCTTATATGTATTGCTTATTCTCCACATAACTTACTGTACTCTTAATTCCTTGCATTCTGTGCACATATATCTCACATCTCTGAGAAGACCTGTTACTTATTGCTGTGCATTAACTTATGTGTGTTATTCACAACCAATTTATTGTCATTGTGTGGATGAATGGTAAACAGAGAGCGGCAAACATTTACAAGTCGTTGTGAGAGGAGAAAAGTTGAAGAATGGGTGATAATAACATAGAGTCAGGAAATGATGAGACTATGAGTGCGTCGACACCCATATGGGTTATTATCATCAAATGGTTTCTCGTCGTAATCAACTGCATGTGGATGTTTGCCGACAGTCTCGGCATAATTATGGGCAGAAAAGTGATCAAAAGGCCCGAAGACCTGCCGGACAGTGACACTAAGATCCGCACTCACGCCACCATTGAACTGGTCATCTGTTTGATCGGTTTAATCGGTTTGATTGGACACAAGTTTTTCATCATTGTTTTCCATTGTATCGCATTTGGTCTCTATTTTATAATACTGTTTGCGTTGGACGAGAACCAAATGTTCTGGGTCGAATCCGTTTGGATTATGATCACCGCCTTCTACGCCCATCAGATTAGGATCAGAAGCAATCGCCCGGTGTTTGACACCACCACCACTTCATAAGGATCATCACATTTACACATATCTATTGAGAAAATGTTTTTTGTAAATATCTATAATGTCTTCTCTATTCTCTTGTTTCATATAAATATTTATATATTCTGTCGATTCTGTGAGGAATAGGTTTTCAAAGTGATGTCACATTGTTTTTCACTATTCATATTATAATCGCATGAAGTTTTCTGTTTGTATTGAGATCTGGTATTACAATAATAAAATTTTTAATACAAAACAACGAATGTATGTATTATATTGTTTTGTGGCGAATATTATGACACAATTCTCGTGAGTGCCCTTCAAATACGAGCGTAGGATTTGGTTTGTATTGACTTTTTCATTATTACTACTTACGTTTTCAATTCAACTCTAGTTTTAGAGTTTTCGTGTAAAAACAGCTTAATTTCTACCAATTATGTTGTTTTTGAAAGCAGATTATAAGAAAATTAATGCCAAAATTGCCCTTTAAGTCAAACTCTTAAGTAGTATTTGTGATATAAATGTGTTGACAAACATGTATAATATAAGGAGTATAAACGACCTCCTGTTTCTTTGCTCGTAACTCTATATACCTTTATACTGTAAGTATCATATGATATGTAGAGAGAAAAAATGTTATTTCAATTTTTATAAATACAATTTTCTTTTTGACATTTTCGATATCAAGAATATTGAGTTTTGAAGTGAAAATTATTGTTAAATATTTGTGAAATTGATATTATTTACAATACATATCAGATTCTTTATCCTCATGTATTTTCTTCGTTTATAAATAAAAAATAAAATCTAAAACTTTATATAATGTACTGTAAAATTTATATCATATAAATAATTTACTTCAAATTTATTCCCTGAAAATTGCAAAATATCGCAGAATATGTGCGAAAATGATTATACAGTGTGTGTATAAGGGATTGATTTTCACTTCAAAATAAAATTCTTCTTTAAAACTATAACATTAATTCAATTGCTTTTTTAATACACAATAAAAACACTCCTTCAGTCAAATCTGGTCTCAGATTTCTGGTATTTTTATTTAAGTAAATATTATTTTCATTGCTATTATTATTTAATATAATTCTATAGTGTTTTCCAATTCAAGTATAATATTGTGTGCAAATCTTTAAACAGAATATTCTGTGCGCGTATTCTTCTGTTAAATGGATTTCTTGGATAACATCCAGTAATACATAAAACACAATAAAAATAGATTTTAATAGAAATATCAAGAATTGAATGCATGATAAGTAAAGAAGAAAACCTCAATCAATGGTATTTTTTCAAAACCTAAATCATTTTTATTTTCTCTTTATTTATTGTTATACTTTAAAATTTTTATGTTTTCAT